GGGTGAACCGCCACTCCACCGCCATTGGGCGCATCTGGCTCTCCGTCATCTTCATCTTCCGGATAATGGTACTGGTGGTGGCAGCTGAGAGTGTCTGGGGGGATGAAAAATCTGCCTTCACCTGCAACACCCAGCAGCCCGGCTGCAACAGCGTCTGCTATGACCACTTCTTCCCCATCTCCCATATCCGTCTGTGGGCCCTGCAGCTCATCCTTGTCACCACGCCAGCCCTCCTCGTGGCCATGCACGTGGCCTACCAGCAGCACCAGGAAAAGAAGCTGCTTGTGCTGACAGGGCATGGGGACCCCAAGCACATGGAGGAGGTGAAGAAGCACAAGATGCGCATAGCAGGTTCGCTGTGGTGGACGTATGTCTGCAGCGTGGTCTTCAGGCTGCTCTTCGAGGCCGTGTTCATGTACATCTTCTACATGCTCTACCCGGGCTACCAGATGGTGCGGCTGGTCAAGTGCGAGGCTTACCCTTGCCCCAACACCGTCGACTGCTTCATCTCCCGGCCCACTGAGAAGACCATCTTTACTGTCTTCATGCTGGTCACCTCCAGCATCTGCATCGTCCTCAACATGGCAGAGCTGGTCTACCTGGTGGTGAGGGCCTGTGCCCGCCGAGGCCAACACAACTCCAACCCCTCATCAGCAAAGGGCTCCTTCTATGGGCACAAGCTCTCCTCTGAGTACAAGCAGAACGAGATCAACCAGCTGCTGACGGAGCAGGATGGCTCCCTCAAGGACATGCTGCGTCGCAACCCCGGGCTGCAGGAGAAGGGCGACCGCTGCTCTGCCTGCTAGGGCCGGTGCTGCGGGGGTCCCAGCCCTTGCCCCTGCCCCACAGCTGCCCCACAGCTCTGTGCTGTCCCTGTCCCATGGACAGCATCCCTTAGGTGCCAGTCCGGGTCTCCTGGATGGCCAGGGGGGCATCTCAGGCCATTAAATCTCGGTTCTCAGGTGCTGCCTCCCTCCTTTCTGCTCTGGGCTGCTCTGCCTGCTAGGGCCGGTGCTGCGGGGGTCCCAGCCCTTGCCCCTGCCCCACAGCTGCCCCACAGCTCTGTGCTGTCCCTGTCCCATGGACAGCATCCCTTAGGTGCCAGTCCGGGTCTCCTGGATGGCCAGGGGGGCATCTCAGGCCATTAAATCTCGGTTCTCAGGTGCTGCCTCCCTCCTTTCTGCTCTGGGATGTGCCAGGGGCTGGGGTGCCAGTGTGGGGTGGCCACCCCTGCACCCTAACCCAGGTGGGTGCCCCTGGGGGGATGTGGGGGCTGCAGCTGTGGCCGCGTTGCCCTGGCAGCCAGAATGCAGGAGCAGTGACCCCTGGGTGGCATTGAGCAGCGTCCAAGGGCTCACGCTCCCCCAGCACCAGCCCCTGCAGCCCCAAATATATTTAGAAAAGTGCCCAGACCAAAAATAGAGGGAAAAAGTTTCCCCAGTGGCTGTTTCATCTGCCAGTTAAAATGAAAGCCAATGGGGCACACAGCTGCCTCATGCCCCTATAACCTCACACCCGCCGTCAGATGGACGGACAGAGCCGGACGGACCTGTCCGCACCTCGCTGAGGAGCCGGGGACCAA